GCCAATAGGGAATAGGGACCCAGACCACTCTGGCTTCTTCCAACTTGAACAGGGACACAGGGTGAGGCAATTAGAGTACCCCTCAGTGGGTCTATCAAAAATACTCCCAAATTGCATAACTTATCTCTATGGGGAAAAGAGAATCCTTGACTGGTGAATAGGAGGTGTGAAGGAGAAGTAAAGACAAGAGTAATTAGCATTATAAGTTCTAGACAGGGAACTAGAAAAAAGAACAGGGCAATTTTCAAATGTTCATATGGTGCATTGGAATTTCTTGACCAGGGCTTCCCAAAGCATCCCTGTATTTGGTACTTCCTCATTTTTCTTTTGTCTTCCAAGGTTGGACTCTAGAGTGCTGGATTCAGGATTTGTTTTCAGGTATTTTGATAGCTGTTGACGTGGTTAGAATCAGTGTCAGTTCCCTCGCAAAGGCTTCTAGATAGAGGGAGAAAACTTTTCTACCCTTAAACTTCATTGTATGTGTATATGGGTGTATATATGTATATTATGTAACCTGCTTCAAATTATTCCTGGAAAAATGTGTTAAAAATTGCCTGTCTTTTGAATAATAAAAATATTCTAAAAAAAATCCAAGAGAAAGAAATCTAATCGCTTATGACAAATCACCAAGAAGCAAAATCAAAATGAGGCTTCAGAGCTGAAGGGTTTGGAGCTGTGTTCTAAACAGTTAGGTGGAACCAAGGAGTCTGGGGCTGCACAATCCCGTCTTCCCCAGGCAGTCAGGTACTTTAGTCAGAGAGACTCAACAGCATTGGAAAAAGAAACGGAAAATCAGCTGCATTGCTGGAGTGAGCTGATAACAAAGGTGGCTCTGTCATTCTCTGGGTCCAGTGAGGTGACACTGCTAATCCTAAAATCTACCCAGCCATCACACGACCAGGGAGAGGCCCCTGTCCCCAGACCCTCAGCATCAGTGGCACATGTGCAGTTGGAAGAGAAGACCCCCACTAGTATTCTCCCCAACACTGGCAGAGGGACCCCAGAACAGCTTCCTTCAAACTTTTCTACTATAGTCAGAAAAACATTTTCCTCCCTCCCTTCCCCTTCTCTTTCTCTCATGCTCTTGATCTTGCTTCTCTCTCTCTCTCCCCTTGTTTGGAAACAGAGTCTTGCTATCCTTGCCTAGCTTTGAACCCACTATGTAGCTCAAGGTGGCCTTGATCTCAGTGACAGTCCTGCCTCAACCTCCTGTGTGCTAAGCTTACAGGCCTGCACCACTGCACCCAACAGAAAACACATTTTCAATCACAGCCCAGCATATACGTGTGTGTACATACATGTGCTTTGTACACACATGTTTAGGACACATGGAATTTAATTTATTTTTGAGACAGGGTCTTATGTATTCTAGGCTGGCCTCAAACTCTCTATGTAGCTGAGGGTGACCTTAAACTTTTTTGGGGGTGGGTAGTACTGAGGATTGAACTCAGGGCATCTCACATGTTAGGCAAGTACTCTACCACTGAGCTATAGCCTCGAGAGTGTGGGGATTATACATCTGTGCCAACACTCCTGGTTTTATGTGTGTGATGACTAATCTTGGTTGTTAACTTGACACACCTGGAAAGAGGGGCGCCTCAATTGAAGAACCACCTCCATCAGGTTGACCTGTGGGCAAGTTTGTGGGACATTTTCTTGATTGCTAATCCATGTAGGAGGGCCCAGCCCACTGTAGGCAGTAACAGGTGGGCCCAGGATGTACAAGAAAGGTAGCTGAGCAAACCTGGGGGTAGGCAGCATTCCTCCATGGTTTCTGCTTTGAGTTCCTGCTGTGTAAGGAGAAATAAACCCTTTCCTCCCCAAGCTGTTTTGGTCAGAGTGTTTGTCGCAGTAACAGAAAAGCTAACTAGAACAATGTGTCTCTGGGGTTCAAACCCAAGCTATTGTGTCTGGTAGGCAAGCACTCTG